ATACAGCACAACCTCAGAGTCCCACACAACACCCGTGTGTATACCGATAACATGTGAGTCAGCTATACAGCACAACCTCAGAGTCCCACACACCTGCCGTGTGTACACCGATAACATGTGAGTCAGCTATACAGCACAACCTCAGAGTCCCACACAACACCTGTCGTGTGTACACCGATAACATGTAAGTCAGCTATACAGCACAACCTCAGAGTCCCACACAACACCTGCCGTGTGCACACCGATAACATGTAAATCAGCTATACAGCACAACCTCAGAGTCCCACACAACACCTGTCGTGTGTACACCGATAACATGTAAGTCAGCTATACAGCACAACCTCAGAGTCCCACACAACACCTGCCGTGTGCACACCGATAACATGTAAGTCAGCTATACAGCACAACCTCAGAGTCCCACACAACACCTGCCGTGTGTACACCCATAACATGTGAGTCAGCTATACAGCACAACCTCAGAGTCCCACAAAACACCCGTGTGTGTACCGATAACACGTGAGTCAGCTATACAGCACAACCTCAGAGCCCCACACACCTGCCGTGTGTATACCGATAACATGTGAGTCAGCTATACAGCACAACCTCAGAGTCCCACACACCTGCCGTGTGTATACCGATAACATGTGAGTCAGCTATACAGCACAACCTCCGAGTCCCACACAACACCTGCCGTGTGCACACCGATAACATGTGAGTCAGCTGTACAGCACAACCTCCAAGTCCCACACACCTGCCGTGTGCACACCGATAACATGTGAGTCAGCTATACAGCACAACCTCAGAGTCCCACACAACACCCGTGTGTACACCGATAACATGTAAGTCAGCTATACAGCACAACCTCAGAGTCCCACACACCTGCCGTGTGTACACCGATAACATGTGAGTCAGCTATACAGCACAACCTCAGAGTCCCACACACCTGCCGTGTGTACACCGATAACATGTGAGTCAGCTATACAGCACAACCTCAGAGTCCCACACATCTGCCGTGTGTACACCGATAACATGTGAGTCAGCTATACAGCACAACCTCCGAGTCCCACACAACACCTGCCGTGTGCACACCGATAACATGTGAGTCAGCTATACAGCACAACCTCAGAGACCCACACACCTGCCGTGTGTACACCGATAACATGTGAGTCAGCTATACAGCACAACCTCCGAGTCCCACACAACACCTGCCGTGTGTACACCGACAACATGTGAGTCAGCTATACAGCACAACCGCAGAGTCCCACACCACACCTGCCGTGTGTATACCGATAACATGTGAGTCAGCTATACAGCACAACCTCAGAGTCCCAAACACCTGCTGTGTGCACACCGATAACATGTGAGTCAGCTATACAGCACAACCGCAGAGTCCCACACAACACCTGTCGTGTGAACACCGAGAACATGTGAGTCAGCTATACAGCACAACCTCAGAGTCCCACACACCTGCTGTGTGCACACCGATTACATGTGAGTCAGCTATACAGCACAACCTCAGAGTCCCACACAACACCTGCCGTGTGCACACCGATAACATGTGAGTCAGCTATACAGCACAACCTCAGAGACCCACACACCTGCCGTGTGTACACCGATAACATGTGAGTCAGCTATACAGCACAACCTCAGAGTCCCACACAACACCTGCCGTGTGTACACCGACAACATGTGAGTCAGCTATACAGCACAACCGCAGAGTCCCACACCACACCTGCCGTGTGTATACCGATAACATGTGAGTCAGCTATACAGCACAACCTCAGAGTCCCAAACACCTGCTGTGTGCACACCGATAACATGTGAGTCAGCTATACAGCACAACCTCAGAGTCCCACACAACACCTGTCGTGTGAACACCGATAACATGTGAGTCAGCTATACAGCACAACCTCAGAGTCCCACACACCTGCTGTGTGCACACCGATTACATGTGAGTCAGCTATACAGCACAACCTCAGAGTCCCACACAACACTCGTGTGCACACCGATTACATGTGAGTCAGCTTTACGGCACAACCTCAGAGTCCCACACAACACCTGCCGTGTGCACACCGACAACATGTGAGTCAGCTATACAGCACAACCTCAGAGTCCCACACACCTGCCGTGTGTACACCGATAACATGTGAGTCAGCTATACAGCACAACCTCAGAGTCCCACACAACACCTGCCGTGTGCACACCGATAACATGTGAGTCAGCTATACAGCACAACCTCAGAGTCCCACACAACACCTGCTGTGTGCACACCGATAACATGTGAGTCAGCTATACAGCACAACCTCAGAGTCCCACACAACACCTGCCGTGTGCACACCGATAACATGTGAGTCAACTATACAGCACAACCTCAGAATCCCAAATACCTGCCGTGTGCACACTGACAACATGTGAGTCAGCTATACAGCACAACCTCAGAGACCCACACACCTGCCGTGTGTACACCGATAACATGTGAGTCAGCTATACAGCACAACCTCAGAGTCCCACACAACACCTGCCGTGTGTACACCGACAACATATGAGTCAGCTATATAGCACAACCGCAGAGTCCCACACCACACCTGCCGTGTGTACACCGATAACATGTGAGTCAGCTATACAGCACAACCTCAGAGTCCCACACAACACCTGCCGTGTGTACACCGATAACATGTGAGTCAGCTATACAGCACAACCTCAGAGTCCCACACACCTGCCGTGTGCACACCGATAACATGTGAGTCAGCTATACAGCACAACCTCAGAGTCCCACACACCTGCCGTGTGTATACCGATAACATGTGAGTCAGCTATACAGCACAACCTCCGAGTCCCACACAACACCTGCCGTGTGCACACCGATAACATGTGAGTCAGCTATACAGCACAACCTCCGAGTCCCACACAACACCTGTCGTGTGCACACCGATAACATGTGAGTCAGCTATACAGCACAACCTCCGAGTCCCACACACCTGTCATGTGTGCACCGATAACATGTGAATCAGCTATACAGCACAACCTCAGAGTCCCACACAACACCTGCCGTGTGCACACCGATAACATGTGAGTCAGCTATACAGCACAACCTCCGAGTCCCACACACCTGCCGTGTGCACATCGATAACATGTGAGTCAGCTATACAGCACAACCTCAGAGTCCCACACAACACCCGTGTGTACACCGATAACATGTAAGTCAGCTATACAGCACAACCTCAGAGTCCCACACACCTGCCGTGTGTACACCGATAACATGTGAGTCAGCTATACAGCACAACCTCAGAGTCCCACACAACACCCGTGTGTACACCGATAACATGTGAGTCAGCTATACAGCACAACCTCAGAGTCCCACACACCTGCCGTGTATATACCGATAACATGTGAGTCAGCTATACAGCACAACCTCAGAGTCCCACACATCTGCCGTGTGTACACCGATAACATGTGAGTCAGCTATACAGCACAACCTCAGAGTCCAACACACCTGCCGTGTACATACCGATAACATGTGAGTCAGCTATACAGCACAACCTCAGAGTTCCACACAACACCTGCCGTGTGTACATCGATAACATGTGAGTCAGCTATACAGCACAACCTCCGAGTCCCACACAACACCTGCCGTGTGCACACCGATAACATGTGAGTCAGCTATACAGCACAACCTCTGAGTCCCACACAACACCTGCCGTGAGTACACTGATAACATGTGAGTCAGCTATACAGCACAACCTCAGAGTCCCACACAACACCTGCCGTGTGCACACCGATAACATGTGAGTCAACTATACAGCACAACCTCAGAGTCCCTCACACCTGCGTGTGCACACTGACAACATGTGAGTCAACTATACAGCACAACCTCAGAGTCCCACACAACACCTGCCGTGTGCACACCGATAACATGTGAGTCAGCTATACAGCACAACATCAGAGTCCCACACAACACCTGCCGTGTGCACACCGATAACATGTGAGTCAGCTATACAGCACAACCTCAGAGTCCCACACAACACCTGCCGTGTGCACACCGATAACATGTGAGTCAGCTATACAGCACAACCTCAGAGACCCACACACCTGCCGTGTGTACACCGATAACATGTGAGTCAGCTATACAGCACAACCTCAGAGTCCCACACAACACCTGCTGTGTGTACACCGACAACATGTGAGTCAGCTATACAGCACAACCGCAGAGTCCCACACAACACCTGTCGTGAGAACACCGACAACATGTGAGTCAGCTATACAGCACAACCTCAGAGTCCCACACACCTGCCGTGTGCACACCGATTACATGTGAGTCAGCTATACAGCACAACCTCAGAGTCCCACACAACACTCGTGTGCACACCGATTACATGTGAGTCAGCTTTACGGCACAACCTTGGAGTCCTTCTTGACATATCCAACTTACCGTATGTACCCCGAAGGTGACAAGCTGCTCAACATATCATTTTGAAAAGGAAAAAAAGTGGTCTTGCAATTGGAACACATGTTCCATATGTATGTACTGTGGCTGTGTTGGCTCCCCATACGGGAGGCTGATCAGTCTGTATAACGCGATAATGATAAGATGGCGGTACACCTACATGACTACTGATACAATATCCGTTCATTTCAATTACTCACAATCATTCACGCAACCTACCCATGAAGATCCGGGTAGAATCGGTCTTTAGCAAACCTTGCTTGTCTTAAGAGGAGAGTCCCCCGCGGTGATATTTCCCGAATATTGCTAAAAGCGGCGTAAAAACAAGCTCACTCACTCACTCACTTAAGAGGAGACTAACGGGATCGGGTGGCCAGGCTCGCTGTCTTTGTTGATGCATGTCATCGTATCCCAATTGCGTAGATCGATGCTCATGATGTCAATCACTGGATTGTCTGGTCCAAACTCAAATATGTACAGACCGCCGTCAAACAGCCGGACTATTGCTAAGTGCGGTGTTAAACAACAAACAAACACCCACTCCGCCTGCTCTTACCTGAAATTAAGGCCTGGCTTGACTTCACGAGGCAGGCCGAGTGGTCTGTTGATTGCTGATACTTCTCGTGACAGTTGGCCTAAACATAAGTAAACAACACTAACACAAATACGAGGTCTTCGTGGCTGGTAGATAAGCACATATAACATTTAATGTCCAAATATGCGAGGTAATAAATATACATGCGTACGAACCACATGGGTCATGATGACGTCACTCGCTGTGAGGTATTGCAGCCGTGCAGACAGATTTGTTGGCGTAATTCAGACGCCATTGTTGAAGTGTTAGTAAGGGATGTCACACTCTACTCTACTGATGTTATGTGGTTACTCTCTCTCTCTCTCTCTCTCTCTCTCTCTCTCTCTCTTTATGAATTTAGGGATAATAAAGAGATTATCATATTCCCATTGTGACTACTGTCGATACACATACCCTACGGCATCAATAACTGCCTATCACCTTTATCATAAATGTTTCTCACTGAAGTTGAAAAAGGGAAAATGTATGTATCTTTTACTGATTTCACCAAAGTCGCTCTCGCAAGTGAAATATGAATATTCAGACATTCTTTTTTGTAAAATCAGTATACGTGTATATATCCATTCCTGGTTAGAACTGCCCCAGCAACCTATGCTGGACGTAAGAAGCTACCAGCTGGATCGGGTGGTCAGGCTGGATCGGGTGGTCAGGCTGGATCGGGTGGTCGGGGACCTGCGGTTGATTTCGTGTCATTGTATCCCGACCGCGTGGATCGTTGCGCATATTATCATTCACTGGATTTGCTGGTCCTGACTCGATTATTTACAGACCGTTGTCATATAACTGGACTTATATGCGGCATTGAACAACATACATATTCATGTCACCACCTTCATATACGCACGTTAGAAAAAGGGAAAGTTGTTACACATACACTTCTCCCATGTCTGTGACCTCGTCTGTTCTCTGTATTGGTGTCTGAGGGTGCCCTGGAACACAGCACGCCTGAAGCAAAGAGCAAAGTCAGGATTGCATATTCGCCGTTTCCAACCTCTGACGTACATGCTTACAGGAAGTGTTTTCATTCATCAACATTGGTTCCCTTCAATTCTTCAAAAACACAAAAGTCTTAAAAACGATGGTTGATTGATGAGTTCTAAATCTCACATAGAAGGAATTGTGTGATAGTGAATTTTGTTGTTGAGCATATTACATGATGTCATAGCGGTATATCCACAAACGCCTGAGTCCACAGAGCAGATTGTTTGGCTGTAACAAGCCAGTGAAGTAATCAGGGGTCTGACCTTTGGGAAAGACTATAAAATTAGAATTTAGTGTAGTGCTCACGTGTGTATCATCACGTGACAGTAAGACGTTTCACATCAAGATATGAACAAACTATTGCTTTATTTAATAGGGAGGTGCCATCAGTCGCGCACTAACGAAATACATTTATGTTTAACATTCTACGTAATAATTCGACCTCACGTCTATTTCTGGACCTTCATTTGAAGGCATTCCAACTGAAGTCGACCTCGGTATATTGATAGCTTGCAAATGTATACGGGCGAATCTTTACACTCTTTTGCGTGAGTACATTATTATACAGTTACAGGGGCATTAAGAATGTTGGTGCATTGACGTTGCCCATGGCGCACATTTCTTCCGATTTGGGGACAGGCTACGCTTTGTACGGAGTGCGTCTTCTCCGGTGCCTTATGTCGCCCTGTGAACTGAATAGAAGGAAAGCATATTACTATTAGATTAATGGAGCGTTCTATTGTGAGATTACAAATCGGCCCTGTCATCTTTGTGTGGGTCTGGGGCATATAAGCACCTGTAGGCGACATAACGGAGTGTTAGTGCAGGTCGGGGACAAGCACCTGTAGGCTACATGACAGGGTGTTAGTGCAGGTCGGGGACAAGCACCTGTAGGCGACATGACAGAGTGTTAGTACAGGTCCGAGACAAGCACCTGTAGGCTACATGACAGAGTATTAGTGCAGGTCGGGGACAAGCACCTGTAGGCGACATGACAGAGTATTAGTACAGGTCGGGGACAAGCGCCTGTAGGCGACATGAATGAGTGTTAGTGCAGGTCGGGGACAAGCACCTGTAGGCTACATGACAGGGTGTTAGTGCAGGTCGGGGACAAGCGCCTATAGGCGACATGAATGAGTGTTAGTGCAGGTCGGGGACAAGCACCTGTAGGCTACATGACAGAGTATTAGTGCAGGTCGGGGACAAGCACCTGTAGGCGACATGACAGAGTATTAGTACAGGTCGGGGACAAGCGCCTGTAGGCGACATGACAGGGTGTTAGTGCAGGTCGGGGACAAGCACCTGTAGGCTACATGACAGGGTGTTAGTGCAGGTCGGGGACAAGCGCCTATAGGCGACATGAATGAGTGTTAGTGCAGGTCGGGGACAAGCACCTGTAGGCTACATGACAGGGTGTTAGTGCAGGTCGTTGACAAGCACCTGTAGGCGATATGAAAGGGTGTTATTGCAGGTCGGGGACAAGCACCTGTAGGCTACATGACAGAGTGTTAGTACAGGTCGTTGACAAGCACCTGTAGGCGACATGACAGGGTGTTAGTACAGGTCAGGGACAAGCACCTGTAGGCTACATGGCAGAGGGTTAGTACAGGTCGGGGACAAGCACCTGTAGGCGACATGACAGGGTGTTAGAGCAGGTGCAGGTCGGGGACAAGCACCTGTAGGCGACATGACAGAGTGTTAATACAGGTCGGGGACAAGCACCTGTAGGCGACATGACAGGGTGTTAGTACAGGTCGGGGACAAGCACCTGTAGGCGACATGACAGGGTGTTAGAGCAGGTGCAGGTCGGGGACAAGCCCCTGTAGGCGACATGACAGAGTGTTAGTACAGGTCGGGGACAAGCACCTGTAGGCGACATGACAGAGTGTTAGTACAGGTCGTTGACAAGCACCTGTAGGCGACATGACAGAGTGTTAGTACAGGTCGGGGACAAGCACCTGTAGGCTACATGACAGGGTGTTAGTGCATGTCGGGGACAAGCACCTGTAGGCGACATGACAGAGTGTTAGTACAGGTCGGGGACAAGCACCTGTAGGCTACATGACAGAGTATTAGTGCAGGTCGGGGACAAGCACCTGTAGGCTACATGACAGGGTGTTAGTGCAGGTCGTTGACAAGCACCTGTAGGCGACATGACAGAGTGTTAGTACAGGTCGGGGACAAGCACCTGTAGGCTACATGACAGAGTGTTAGTACAGGTCGGGGACAAGCACCTGTAGGCTACATGACAGAGTATTAGTGGAGGTCGGGGACAAGCACCTGTAGGCGACATGACAGGGTGTTAATGCAGGTCGGGGACAAGCACATTTAGGCTACATGACAGGGTGTTAGAGAAGGTGCAGGTCGGAGACAAGCGCCTGTAGGCGACATGACAGGGTTTTGAGCAGGTGCAGGTCGGGGACAAGCGCCTCTAGGCGACATGAAAGGGTGTTATTGCAGGTCGTTGACAAGCACCTGTAGGCGACATGAAAGGGTGTTAGTGCAGGTCGGGGACAAGCACCTGTAGGCGACATGACAGGGTGTTAGTGCAGGTCGGGGACAAGCACCTGTAGGCGACATGATAGGGTGTTAGTACAGGTCGGGGACAAGCACCTGTAGGCTACATGACAGGGTGTTAGAGCAGGTGCAGTTCGGGGACAAGCACCTGTAGGCTACATGACAGGGTGTTAGAGCAGGTGCAGGTCGGGGACAAGCACCTGTAGGCGACATGATAGGGTGTTAGTACAGGTCGGGGACAAGCACCTGTAGGCGACATGAAAGGGTGTTAGTACAGGTCGGGGACAAGCACCTGTAGGCGACATGAAAGGGTGTTATTGCAGGTCGGGGACAAGCACCTGTAGGCGACATGAAAGGGTGTTATTGCGTGCCTGGTAACAGGACATAGGTTGTATATCAGGATATGTACAAAGAAGTATACAATACACGGGTGTTCCAAGGGAACGTGAAAAATAGTTATTCATATTTATAATCCTCAAGTGACGTCATCCTATTGTTCTCCAAGAGGGTTAAATCTCATAAACAGGAATGTTATAATATCCCAGGGATTTTATCAATACAACCGTTTATACACATTGTAATGAAATGTAAAACCAGATGACAAATGTTTTCTTTATATTCCCGTGGGTCGGACATGCAACCTTTGCATCTGTATCCCTGTGAGTGTACCACTCGGCTACAGACGCGCTGATAAAACACAATGCTTTTAAGAAAAGCTTTAACATTTTCAGTTACGCACACGCCAGCAAGATATTTTACGCCTGTTTCTTTAGGTTCATGGAAAGTATGTTTAAAACATAAATGTGTTGATAAAGGCTGTTTTAAGTTTCTTTTTCTTCCGTTTATAAGTCGGATAAAACACTTACCCTCGGGTTTTTATGAGATTTAAACCCCTCAACCTCGGCACTGGCGCCACTCTGTTTTATCCCTTGGATTCGGGTTTTAAAACTCATTAAAAAACCCTGACGTGTTTCATCCTGCACAGATAGGTGAGTATTCAGAGAAATGGGTATTCAAAGGGAAGCTTATTCACAGAGATGGGTATTCACAGATATGGGTATCGACAGGGATGGGTATTTACAGAGATGGGTATTCATAGATATAGATTTTCACAGATAGATACACACACGGGCACTTGTTCGAGGAAGCAGTCATATGCGTTCTTTCACCAGTATCAAAGTGGAGATGGCGCAACACCAACTTTTAAAAAATTCCACACTCTTAAACAGTCAATGAAATATCATCCGATGACAGTACAAAATTGTTATGTGAACTGATTTGAAGGCCTCTTGTATGTCGGTTTATCAGGCGAGTTCCTTGAAGTACAAGATATCCGACATTTATCTTAATTGCTGAGCGCACAAACGTTTGTGACTTTTATTCTAACTTCTTCTGAAAAGTCTACATCCTGCAGCAGTGTATGGGGAATGGGGAAGATGGCGAACACACGTGAGACAAGGCATGTGCATTCATCAGTACCAAAAAGCAAATCTCTTAAGCGTTATACATCCTTCAAATGTTTATTAGTTAGCGAATATAGTCAAAGTAAACACAGTTTTTTTAAACTATAAAAAGATTATTGTTTAACTTCGAAGTGGTTTTAATTCATTTGGTATTCAGAAAATCATCAGAGGTGTGTACTCTGCAGATGATGTCGAAGTTTGGTATGGTGAATGTTGTGTGTTAGAGGTCAAAGTTCACGTCGTATTCAGCTGTAAAGTATATGACAGTCGCAGACGGCATATCCCCGTGTTAGCAATGCCACGACTGATGAGACGCTGTCGTAATAATACCAACTGAGACGAAAGACATCAACGCCATGTTGTCTAAATAAATGTTATGTATTCTCCATCAAAGTGATAACATGGTTTGGGGTTGAGGTTTTTTAACGCCGTACTCAGCAATATTCCAGTTATATGGTAGCGGTCTGTAAATAATCGAGTCATGATCCGACGATCCACTGATTGATATCATGAGCATCGATCCACATAATTGGGATACGATGACATGTAAATCAAGCATGTCGCCGCGCCTGACCACTGATCCTTGCAGTCGCCATTTACGACAAGCATAAGTTCCTGTCCTTACTTGGAATCGCCACAGGTGTGACGGACGACATGTCGATACTCATTATGATACATTTATGGTACTTGTTGTTACCCTTCCATGACGCTCGGCATTAAGGGGTTAAAACAAGGACAGGTCCGCTTGGAGTCAGTATACTGTATCTGAGTGGGGTATTCATGTTAAACTGCGGCATGATATCTCAGTGTGCTAGCACTATTAAATCGGCATTATTCTGGACTAGAACAAGCAGCCACACACACGTGCAATCACTTCACTATATAAGTGCAATAATCTTGGACGCGACGTTAAACCCCAGTTCACCTCACTACATTTATGTAGCACTGTACACTCCGTCCATTAGCATCCTTGAAAATCTTTGAATCCTGTTACTCACATAGTTTAACTGACGTTTATTCTGATAAATATCATCAGTGTACAAAATACAACAGAAAACTATTTGTAAAAAGGGACTAAGAATAATGGGGATGGTTACAACAGGGAGGACACACACTCTCTTTCGAACTGCAGATTTGCCCGGCCTTGGTCAGCACCAAATGCACATGAAATTTCACCAACATTGTTAACATCATCTGCCGACACGCTATAACAAACATTCAAAACTGCATGAAAACCATTTCACTCGCTCACTCTTACCTGCGTGATAGACCCGTGAAGAATAGGTCTTTACTAACCCATGCTGGTCGAAAGAGGCGAATAACGGGATCGGGTGGTCAGGCTCGCTGTCTTGGTTGATGCATGTCATCGTATCTTAATTGCGAGGATCGATGCTCATGATGTCAACCACTGATTGTTCGATTATTTACAGGCCGCCGTTAAACAGCTGTAATATTGCTGTGTGCGGTGTTAAACAACAAACACATAAAGAAACAAACAAACCTACCTGATAAAGTCAAGATCACACACAAAGCTCGTCGTGCAAACAGGGACATAGCCTTTTATGAATGTACTGTCTGATCCACAAATCAGTCTTGTTTTTACGAATACACGTATATCTTCTAAAGGCTCAGTCGATATTCTCAAAACCTCCGGCTCGGTTCTCACTAGAAATACACTCCTACTATTAGTAGGTGGGACATGAAACTGTCTTTCAACTTGTGTATGCATAAACCTCGCCCCAGTGTTATACAGTGGTATCAATGCATGTATTCATGATGCTGCATCTCAGCGTATAGGGGACACGAGGAGTTGGCGTGGTCGTGGTTATGACCACGAAATACACATAAACCTCCCGCGGACTATGCGTATTGCTGAATAATCGGCTGCTCTTATGGAAACATTGTAAGACGTAAACTGGGGTTAACGTCCTCCTTTTAATGGTGTTCCATGTCTGAATACAGCATGGTGATTACCACGTGAAACACACATATATCAAACATTGTAAGGAGTTTCTCGTTCAATCAATATTCAACCAGGAATAAGTCACCCATATTCAGTAGTAGTCCGCGGACATGCATGCTGTATTTTTATGGCCAGTCATGGTCATTATTTATTCATCCGGGTGGTTTCCACTCAGACCAAATTGTCTCTACTGATGAAGATCACTACATGTGATGCCCGTACCCGTGAAGATCCGGGTAGAATAGGTCTTCAGCAACCCATGCTTGCCGTAAAAGGTGACTATGCTTGTCGTAAAAGGCGACTAACGGGATCGGGTGGTCAGGCTCACTGACTTGGTTGATGCATGTCATCGTATCCCAATTATGTAGATCGATGCTCACGATATCAATCATCGGATTGTCTGGTCCAGACTCGATTATTTTCAGAACGCCGTCATTGCTGGCATATTGCTGAGCGCGTTGTTAAACAACAAACAAACAAACACACACTACATACGAGACATTCTACAACAGTGCTGTAGACCTTTCAAGCGGTCAATACCCGTTTTTTATGGACCCGGAAAAAGAATAATGAAAGAGGACGTAATTGAATAATAAAACGTGATATTGAATCTGTGTTAGGTCCTCGAGTGACTAGTTACAGGGGTGAAGTCTGACGAGATGGCAGCAGTGTGTCCCGGGGTAGGCCCAGCGCTAGGCTGCTTGTGGTGAGAGGTGACTTTCTAAAGCGGGTCTGGTGATTGTGCCAAAGTTCCCCCACGGCGTGCGACGTTCATCAGAATATCAATCACTGGTTTGTCCGGCCCAGGCTCGATATGTTACACTTCGCCCTGATATACCTGTGATGTTGCTGACTGCGGCGTTAAACACGGTATACTCACTCACTTAACGAGATATTCCCAGTAGCCAATCACCGATGACACTTGTTGAATACTATCTTAAACACGTACAAATATCTTCATATATGATAACTAAGGAGACTTTGACATATGTGCGTTAGTATCAGATGTTTAGTTCAATAGATACAAGTATCTTAGCTAGTGTAAGTCATGTAAATAAATAAATGCTTTCTCAGTCACAGTTTTAGTCATCTGATATATACCATTGGTCAGACTGACTCAACATACATGATAGTTTGTGCACTGTCTAACACAATAGCACAAGCCCTGTCCCTCCCTACTCCAGCCGCTTTGTCTTTCTGACCAGCCTGGGCATTCAGCTCAGCTTTATTCTGGAGCCCTCAGAAGGTGTGGTCACTCCACTATATGCTTTGGTTTGTTTGTTTGTTGTTTAACGCCGCACTCAGCAATATTCCAGCTATATGACGGCGGTCTGTAAATAATCGAGTCTGGACCACACAATCCAGTGGTTGATATCATGAGCGTCGATCCACACAATTGGGATCGATGACATGCATCAACCAAGTCAGCGAGCCTGACCACCCGGTCCCGTTAGTCGTCTCTTATGGCAAGCATAGTCGCCTGCCATATTCTTTGAAGGCTACACACGTATCTTTATTCTGTATTGTGAATCTCATGGCTATCATCTTTGGATATTTGGCTCATATTCCAAGGTTAGTATTTAAATATTAGATTGAGTAGTTTATCCATTACCTGAATTCCCAATAATTGTAGGAATATAGTAGCTTGTATTTGTATGTATGTTACATATGCTGTGAAATAACTTTAAGCAACCAAATAATTATCATAAACACATAATAAGTAATATGAGTAATTTACCCGAGTGGAAAGTACACTCAATTCAGAAAGAAACGCGAATTGGAAGTGGTATTAGTTACATGCAATAAAAATGAAAGTTTTCAAAAGAAACAAGTCAAAATTGGCAGGGTTATAGAAACATATTTAATTTCACTTAAGACAGCATTTCATGAACTTCATGTATAGGATTCAATGTCACGTTGACATTAAAAGTCTTTTTGAATCCCATTCAGTAACGAGTATGGCCGCTGATTGGTCTGTTGTGAGTCCCATTGTCAATGAGAACATTGTAACATGCTTTGCATATGTTGAATTTGAAATGTGACCTAAAACAAAATTTTAGCTCTCTTTAAAGAAGAAAAACTCTGCCCCTATAAATGCAGACGAAAACACATGACTCTACCCGATCTGTTTGTTTCAGGGGTTTTACGTTACACTACCGGCTGGAATAACATGTTGGCCATTTGAAGAACACAGCAGCTTCTGTTGTCTGTGTGCGGCTCGGCGACATCTTGCTACGTTGGAGCCGACAGGGAGTTAACCTTTCGATATTTAGGAATACAATATCAAAATATTTGAAGACGAATAGATATAGGGGATATATAAAATATAGTGTCATTAAACAGTAATCTAAACAGACCTAATTTATTATAATATCCTTCATAGTCATTGTTGTTTAACTGGTTAGGATAACGCTGTTGGGACATTGTTTCTTCCCTCAATGGTGTTTACTGCCTACTTATTCAATGGTCATGGTTTATTTTCCCGGCCGTTATTTATCTTGTTTCTGCCAAGGGGATTATGTATTAAGACTGTGACCTGTTGATACGAGACTGCTCCAGAAATAAACAGTGTGTGATATCATTAGCACGTCCCATTCGCTATGCAGAGTTGCGTCCCTTGGGCACGCCAGAAACCTTTGATTGTCGGTTCGAATCCCGGTTCGCCCCGATAATGTTTCTAGGTTTGTCGGCACCATACCCGTGCTTGTGGGTTTCACCGGAGTTGTAAACGTCTGAGACCCGCATCACTTCGGGCTTTCCTCCCACATTAAGCTCACTCACTCACTCACTCACTCACGTCGTCGGGATTCAATGACATGGGATTAACCAAGCCGCCTGGCCTAATCATCCGATTCGTATAGTCGCTTCTCGCGTACAGAAGTGGGCTTAGGGCCTATTCTCGGTGAGTTATCGGGTGTAGAGTATGTATGGTGTGTTGCATACTAGCTCGTCCATATTCAACAACCGCCTCCTTTCACAATAAATCTGCCACTTTGCGCTAAGCGATTCAAATAAATTCGATAACGAGTACACACATATTTAGACGATCATATTCCATGTAAGCTTGTCGAACGAGCAAAGCACCGTTAGTCGTTAGAGGTACTACATTTCTTTCAGTGCCGCTAGAAGATTTATACATATTATGACTGGACGTTTCTCTCCATACATCTGCACTGAAAGGACAAAACAGTTCATAGAAAAACTTCCATTGTCATGCTTGTCGCTTTACAGCTGCAGCTCTTGGGACGGGAACGACTGAAAGGAATAGCTTAATGTTGTGGCACGGAAATAACTAGGGTTGAATTCCTGACATAGTTATCCCGTAGACGGATTGACCAGCATTATGTTTGGAGTCAGAGGGTTGAGACAGGACTCATGTCTAATACATTCCTAAGGAACTTAGCTCCTTAATATATTAATAATAATAATGTCATATATAGCATTTCTTCAGGTGTGGGACTGGTGCTCCGTTTGTGCTATGGGGAAACAAAGATAACCATGTTGGATGCAGCTCATAATCGGTTACAACGAAGGCAATACCAATATTACCGGTTAAACACGTTGATGTAACAGATGACGGGGGTACTGGACCACCCCACCTAGACCAGACCCAGGCCCTGAGAATGTTTGCTTGGGGGTCTTAAGTTCTATTACTTATGTGGTGACGATCCAATGATCGTCATGTATCAAGATGCCACCCTATATAGAGGAAATAATGTATTCTTAATGTATGGTTTTGGCACAGAATGCTTGATGTGCTTGTTCTGTGAACTTGTTTTTCTCATCTTCACTAATGCCACTAGTCTTACGAGAATTTGATTGAATCTCTTGCTTCATTGTGTTGTATTTGAGTTCTGACAACACAAAAACAAACTTTTCCAGAGATATGTTACCATCAACTAGTTCTGTTGATATGTGATCTTATTTAACTTTTCTTCTACCAGCTCACGAATACTATCATGTTCGGAAAGCTCTCTTTCGCATCCGGCGATAAATAAATTTAAGAGCTATTCCTGCAAGTCCATAGAATCCCGCCGCTACTTCCATACCAAGTACGATAGGCGCAGCGATTATATAGTTGATAATAAACCAACATCGACTACACCAAGACCCATGCTAGTTACTTAAAGTGCAGTGTCAACTCCATCAAGAGCATTCACAGCTCTTTGATACTTTTTATACAACTCAGTTCGAGAATCACGCTCCTTCTCCAGTATCTGTTTAATTTCACTTATTTGTTTTAATCGAAATCCATCAGCAGTATCCATCTTTTCAGATACTTCGTCCATAATATATAATAATCTGTTAATCAAGCTTCTTTAATTGGCGAATTGACAATGCCTTTACATTACATCTTTGGCTTGAATAGCCCTCAGTTGAGTTGAAGGACTTTCATGTTAGATACTATCTGTTGTACTAATCTGGTCAACATGGATGAACTCTTGATAGGGAACTAAACTGAGTAATCTATCTCCACTCTATTTGTGCTGGGTCCCACTTCTTTTCCTGCAAAACCCAAGTGTATTTGCTAATTTCCCAGCAGGTTTTATACTATTTTTTTCTGCTGTTTAAAGTCAGCGTTCCATTTGACTCATTCAGTGTGATACTAGAACCATAAGGCTTAAGAATTTCAGTATTGAGTGAACATATCCTATAATACCCATCAGGTATAGGTTGTTGTTTATAAAGGTTCTTTGTTTATTAAGAATAAATTGTTTCCTCGAACAGCATTCACACTGGTCCACTGGGGGTAATATGTTATATCGCAGATAGCAACTTCAAGTTGCCCAATTGAATTATCAATAGAATTAAGCAGTTAAAAGACCTTATGTGTTATTCCCTGGAGTGTTACATACACATTAAATAAAAAAACCAAACAACTAAGTTATAACTTCAATATGGGAGGCGTTAAAAATAGGTGTACAAGCAACTGACCTCACACAACCAATAATTGTGGTTGATGTCTCAGGTATCAAATTTCAAATTCGATTCCCTGATATCTTTAGAAATTACAGAACAGTACATGCTTGGTTCTCCAATCCAAAGCAGCTCTTGCAAAACCAGCTCAACTTTGCTGTATGGTGTGCTACAACAGGCTGTGGTTTATCTATTAGAGGTCTTCATGAACTTAGTAAGTCTTTTTTCTTCTTTCATGTGTACTATCGGATTAGACGCATCCTCACAGAAATAAGTGTGCCATTACCACAGGATCAAGCATGGGACGCGATAAATTATCAATACAATCATCAGGCATATAAACGTATTTGTCATCAATTTGATGTTTCCCCAAAGGATGGTTGGCACCGGATTGGATTTAATCAAGGCCTAGGTTATCCATACACAGGTGAACGCACCGTTAAAGATGTCAGGAATGATTAACTGAAAGGGGGCATACGTAGCATGGACTATGCTCACTTGACTGGAGAGATGATCTTATGAACTCTAAGGGTGGTCTTACTTTAACTGTTTCAAAGGTCGAACAACCAAAAGGTGCTGAAAATGATTTCATTTCAAATGAATCAGAAGATTTTACTCGTCCTGGTATTGAAAGTCTTAATGACACAATCTGAACTTATGTATGGGTTTTTGTTCGAGCTCAGGCTCAAACACGCACAAACATCATTGGTGTGGGTACAGCATTTGATGCCCAGATGCAGTTTGTTGTTAACGTAGAGGATGCTATGATTTGACCTGTGGAGCTGCCTCCGGCCATCAAGCGATACCAAGATGTACTACAGCATGCTGGTTCTAAAGCAGGCTATGTTTTTGGAACAGGTCTGAATATGGCACCAAGAAACATTGACCTTATGATTGGACAAGTGTTAGGTTAAAATAATATAATTGTGGTTGCTGGTGATAAAGAAACACTAGGTGTCAATTCAGATATTAACGCCAACTTAATAGCTCAACCAAGTACAGGTGAAACAGGCAGTCAAGCCACAGTCATCTAAACATGTCATCTAACTTTACCAGTCACAAAACTCAACCATCACATATTATAGCACAAAATAAACAACATATCAATAACAAAACTGGGCTTATAGTAGGCGGAGTCGCAGCTGGTTTACTAATGATTTGGTTTCTTAGATGTTAGATACTCTTTAGGGGCTACATACAACAGCCCTGCAATTGCTATAATCATTGCTCATAAGTTTTGATTAAGCCAAGTTCAAGAGCCAGGATACAACAATACTTCCTATTATACCAGGAAGTGCAGATGCAGCTTCCCGCACAAGCTTTCCTACAGCTTCTCCTTTAAATGCTTTTTATCCACTCTTTTACGCTATCCATCACCGCTAGGTGGTGTAGGCGTGTGTCCACAACCACCACCAGTTAAAGCGAGAACCAAAGTTGAGATAATAAATCCAAATGCGGTTAAAATACTGGTAATGGTTATCCCGTTCTCTGAACAATATTTTATAGTTTCTCGAATTCGACTGATTTGACCAAAGTGCTTCTCTTTTAGTGGAAGCTGCGTCTAAGCGGGCTGATCTTTCGTCTTCTAAATTACGCAATCTTTCTGCATCTACTGAGTTCATCGTCTGCCTGTATAAGTTTTGTTTTCTCCTGAGCTATGTTTCTCGAGCTCTTCTATCTTGGCTATATTATTGATGAGTGATCACCGCATTGTTTACATTGTCCTTGTCAAGGCCTCGTAGTTCTCTAAAACTGTAGTCCAAGGATGGTGCCTGTAATGAAGCCAAGATGTCTTCAAGTCCACCTGAAGCCTTTTTAGCATGTTGTGGTATGTTTATCAAACTATCTTTATCTATGGCAGCCGCTGTTGCACCAAGTTCAGTTCGAACTGTTTGAAGAACCTTAGTGGTCTTTGCAGAAAGTTTTGCTTGTGAGCTGTCTGTCTTTACGGCCTAATTCATTGCAAATAAGGTTGAAACCACTACGACGCCCAGCTTTTGTTGACAATGCTAGGGGTTTCCTAGTATGGGAATTCATAAGTCAATATCTTGAGAGCCATTCAGACGCAGTATTTCATTACTATTTATTGTAAACTTGGAATAGTTCACGGCTCATAGGAGTTACATATTTTTTATCTTCTTTTAAGGCATTGTAATAATCATTAACAACCGATTGTAAAAGTTCCTCATTAAGAATTATTCCCTGCTGTGGTCCTGTAAAACAGGTTTCATCAGTTTCTCGTTCAGCTGAAGCAGTAGTATCTGTTATATAATGTTCTATTTGGGATAACACTTTCTTAGTAAAGTACAGACTCACGTACCTATTTAAGAAAGTCTTATCCCAAAGAAAACATTTGTTACATTTGACCACTTTCTAAATGACTGTGTATTCATAACATAATCATGTCTTCGCAATATTGAGGCAAGTTAAATCCACAACGGACACTGCACAACCGATTAGGAGCCAAAGCAATTCGCCAGTCTGTAACTGTAACTAGTAATTCAAGTACCACTGATCAGAATCAGACACTTCGTGTCCGCTTTCCTAATTGGGATTCTCACGATGCGACAGTTCCAGGAACTGCTGGACTAGCTTTTGCAATTAGTTTGACTTCTACTGAGATAAGCAGGGCGATTGTTCAGAACATAGGTCAAGCAATTGTAAAGAAAACCACGATTAAAATTAGTGGTAATGAGGTTTTGAGTCTTAATGACGGTGATGAATACTAGTGCAACGTGGATCTCTGGAGAAACTTACTTTACCAAGGTACTGATACAACCACTATTCGGAATCCAACAAGACTGTGTGTAGGTCCCTCTGTTTGTATTGATACTTTATTAGAACATAAGGCTATAGCCGATGCATTTAACTGGTTCTCTATTCCTTGACTTTGAATTACCAGAGTCACATGCCCTTCTACGAAGCATTGGTGATAGGTTAGAATATGAACTCACTTTTAATTTCCAGTACCCCCATCATCAATAAGGCATGTGAATAACAAGTTGGGCTTGTGGAACTGATTTTCGTATTATGTCTGTTATTATATCAGTGTTGCGGCAAATGCCATGTGTGAAACTTATAATTTAAAAACTGAAATAGAATTTATATACTGTTTAATGTATATATATGGATTAGTTCAGTGATATTGTCTAGAACAGTTACTGTCATGTACACACCAAGAGCACTGGAAACAGTGCATGTCAATTTCAGTGTCTAAAAGTAAATTGGGGGCATCGGTGGCGCTGTGAAGAGTGAAGAGTAAATATCTTTTCTTTAGAAATGAAGGAGAAATATGTGTTTTCACTAAACATATTTCAACAGCAAAATGTCACCTGTAGTTTGTATACGTATGTAGAGTGTCACTATAAAAAAGTTGAAACTTGAAGAAATAGCCACGAAAATACTTATCATCCGACAGTGCTTTCATACTTGCCTGTGGATAAAATTGAGGTATTACTTTAGGTCTTCCAGGCCTTTGTCCTGTCCCATTGAATGATTGAACATTCCTCTGAAAACCAGTTATATCCCAGTTATGATCCTTGGTTTGGAAAAATCAAACACCATAAACTTCTAGGACCTGCAGTCAAAAATCAAACACCATAAACGTCTAGGACCTGCAGTCAAAATCAAACACCATAAACGTCTAGGACCTGCAGTAAAAAATCAAACACCATAAACGTCTAGGACCTGCAGTAAAAAATCAAACACCAAGGATCATAACTGGGATTGAAATGGGACTTTGTAGCTAACTGCCTCCTCAACTGTGTACAAGGAGTTGTGGGAGTCAGCCAGGTGGACCAGACATGTCCCACGAGGACCTCAGCTGTGGTCTTGGGCAACTAGTGATCAAAACAAGAGATGAAAATATGTCTGCATATTTATTTTTTACATTTTCTTAATACATAAATAACACTTAAGGACAAATACTGAAACCAAAACCAATGACTCTTGATATTGACTAACATATTTTTAGGTAAAATTCTCTTAAAAGTAATTTGGTCAGATGAAATACAAATGAAAGTGTTTTACAATTTAGCAGGGACAAAAAATTGTAATAAAAAAAACAAATTCAAAGTATTCAAAGGCAAAAAATGCTTAACATCTTAATTACAATGACAAAAATGGCTTTTTATATGAAGCGGGGTTCAAACTAACAATACAGGGGAATGAGGGGTAAAAAAAATAAATTCTTTGATTATTGTATGTGATAAATGAAATAAAACAAAAAAAATTCATGAGTCTCAAGTCATTCTGCAGAAGCCTGTGATTATGTTTATCCAAATATGATGAAATATGTCGAATATATGACACTGATAAATAATATAAAGTAATGGCTAGTGATGTACTATGCTACTGCCAGCTGCCTAAGCACTCTTCAAGGTTGTGTAAGACACAATGTCCATATAACTAACTATCTGGGTACTATCATGATGATTAATGTAACCGATATATAACTATTGGTACAAATACACCAGAACCCTGTTAATGAAGTCCTTCCCAAGGAAATCAGTGTTTTGAACATAGTTCCAGATGAATCAATAATAAGCACGGACACCCCTGATTGTCCTGGAGGGGAGGGTTCCAGATTGACAGGGTTTCAGTACATACTTAAATGGGAAAGTTTGTCCTGGAGGGAAGGGTTCCAGATTGACAGGGTTTCAGTACATACTTAAATGGGAAAGTTTGCGTTTATTATTAAGGAACTGGCAAACAGTATACAGACATGAACATTATACCAAACATGAAACATGCTATTCTGCAATACTTGCTTGTAAAAAGAATATAAAGGTAGGAGAAGATCTGTGAAATCTGATAAACTCTCAACACATGATGGTTGGTCCAAGTCCTTCCCGGTTGGTGATTTTCAACAACAGTACATGATCATGATCATAATCACATGTAGACAAAGGTGGCAACAGTTCCGCCTCATGTTCATTCTCTCAACTAGCTAGCAACATGGGCAACTTCTATGAAACTATTACAACCCAGAATTTCTTGAACATGCTAAAACTTAATAATATGTATTGACATTGTTCAACAAGGACTGCAAAACGCACATGAATTTATATATTCTATATGAAGACAATTAAAACCTCAGCAATATACTGATTGCACACTTCCCCACTACACTACAATTGGTTGGCAATACAAATTTGTACTATACCTTTTCACACAAATATATATACACAAAGAAATAAGTTAAGCACCCCTCGAAATAATTCATGCTGAAATATTCGCAACAAATGTTAATTTTGTGATGAATATGTAAAGAATGATATTCCATCGAAATGGACAGTACAGCTGTGACGACATGCACGTGCAGCATGCATGTTTCAGCATGCAGTATCTGTCCACCACAAGTGTGGGTATTTAACACCACTGTCTTGCATTGTTGAAGCATTATCTGTGAACATGGCACGAAGAAGGTTATCAGGCGCAAAGATGGGTGTTACTGGTATGCATCGGACAGGCATGACCGGCGAAAGCTTAGGACATCAACAAGGTCTTCATTTTACGGTAATCAACAGACTGGTTTGCCCATTTTTTTGTACCAATTCTGTACTGGATGGTCAGGAAGATCTCCCAAGGTCAGGAAGATCTCCCATGGTCAGGAAGATCTCCCATGGTCAGAAAGATCTCCCATGGTCAGGAAGATCTCACATGGTCAGGAAGATCTCACATGGTCAGGAAGATCTCACATGATGTCAAGGTGAGGACATGGCCCAGCTTCGGCTTGAACGTCATCAACTATTTGCAACATCTCCTGTTTTGAAGCGCCAATAAACGGAATCAACTGAAATCTGGAAATAGGGGTAATGAAGTCTAGGAGGGTATTCAAGCATTCCTTCCTTGCCAATCATCATCATAGATGTCGTTTAACATGGGGTTTGGGCCAGACAGGATGGCATCTGAGGACTTGGCAAAGAGTGCATCAGTCCGATGAAGCAGGTTTCCGCTCCATGTCACGAATGACCAATTGAGAATTTGGAGGCATACAAATACGGCCAACACACCCAGGAACCTATGACCCCAGTATGATAGAGTTTAGGTGATGGTTCGGGGTTGTCTGTCACACAACTGTAAGCTGGATCTTGTCACCTTCCAAGGAAACCTTAATGGTGATTGGTACATCCGTAACGTCTTCTTGCACACCCCAATCATTTTTCTGAGGTTTCAATGCCAACACTCATAGGGCCAGTTATTGTAAAATATACAGGGCGTGCTTACTTTTTGGTTTGTGTATATATTTTACTTAAATCACAAGTTAACCGTGTCCTTAATTGTGACCACCTTACACATCAAATTGTATAATTGCAAATATTTCCATGAATATAAATGCATACCGAATGTGAAGACATGGAATGGGAGGCCACATCAGATCTGTCAGATAGCGTTGGTGTAACATTACCGACTGACATACTGTTTCATCTAATGTTCAAACATTGAAAAATCATCCATTCCAGCATAAAATGTCATCCAAAGCACTGTAGCAAAATACATCCATATTTGCAAGCATATATATAATGGTAACCACCTGGAAGGGAGTTTCTTGCATGTTCAGAAGTTCAATAAACCCATAAAATCACCTTGTTATTTACAAAATGGCCTCACATTAACTTGACAGCTGTTGATGACCCGTAATCCTAAATGCAGTTCACATGAGCAAACTGTTAATCAAATGCATGGGTAACCATGGTAACAGACACATACACGCCAGATCTGTCATTCTCCTCACACACAAGAATGTCTAATAGGTGACTCGTGTCAATCAAACTTCTTTTGCAACCTTTTCTTGAAAACAACCGGTAGCAGAGAGAGGATAGCTAATGCCGCTAGTACAATCATAGAGGTCCATGACACGGCGTCCCCTGACGAGGTCAACTTGTACAAGGTCGTTCCTGCCTGGACTGCTACGAAGGAAGGGGGAGCAACTCCTGCAACATCGAGGTCAGGTAAATAATCAGAAAAGTATTACTTCTATATTCTGGTGAAAGCAAACATTCACCATAAAAACATTTGGCATTCACATTGCTTACTTTCATCTCATCCATATCTATCTCCCTACATCTACCCACACAAAAACATGTGTAAACTAAGAAATATGTAGAGTCTGGCCACACCATGAACATGGTCATGACAGCTTTAGCAATACGTATTCCAGCAAACATAGCAGTGGACACCAAGTATGGGCTTCACACATTGTACCCATTGAAGAATCAAACCAGAGCCTTTGACCTGTTCAACAGTTGAGTTAAACATGAAACGCCTCACTGGTCCTTGTTGATCAACGCAATTACTAATTCACTGAAAGCTTGGCATACTAAAATCCAATTGACACATGACACCTTTTTTTACTGACAGCAACTTCTTTTAGCCTTTGTACATTTCCGAGCTACTTCTTGCTCATCATCAGGTGAATGCTTAGTAAGGGCATAGATAACATAATGACAAGGCCAATGACACAGGATGAATGTACAAAGGTATAATCCCACTGTAAGCATTGTCCTTGATGCCCCAGTGAGCAATAAGACAATATAATGCTGCAATGCTGCATACATGGTACATGTATATCATGTGGAGATATGCCACTGCAGTTACTACATTCAACACACAAACACAACTTCATTCACTGCTCATGTCTTGGAACTTTGTGGAACATGGCTCTGGTGGCAATGTATTTCGCACATTATGAACTATTCCGCTGTTCTTGTACTCAAATTTTACCACTATTTTACCATAGAGACATATGAAAATGACAAAATTGGGTGTGGTGCTTACAGAGCAAAGATTAAACCATGACCAGCTAAGGGACACAAGTCTGCACGGTGAATTGCAGCACCTGAGATGACTGGACCCTGCATGAGTGGACAGTGTGACCAGCTGGACCTGGATACAGGAAGGTACACAAGGACCCTGCAGTGACTGGACCCTGCATGAGTGGACAGTGTGACCAGCTGGACCTGGATACAGGAAGGTACACAAGGACCCTGCAGTGACTGGACCCTGCATGAGCGGACAGTGTGACCAGCTGGACCTGGATACAGGAAGGTACACAAGGACCCTGCAGTGACTGGACCCTGCATGAGCGGACAGTGTGACCAGCTGGACCTGGATACAGGAAGGTACACAAGGACCCTGCAGTGACTGGACCCTGCATGAGCGGACAGTGTGACCAGCTGGACCTGGATACAGGAAGGTACACAAGGACCCTGCAGTGACTGGACCCTGCATGAGGGGACAGTGTGACCAGCTGGACCTGGATACAGGAAGGTACACAAGGACCCTGCAGTGACTGGACCCTGCATGAGCGGACAGTGTGACCAGCTGGACCTTGATACAGGAAGGTACACAAGGACCCCGCAGTGACTGGACCATCAATGAGTGGCCAGTGTGACCAGCTGGACCTGGATACAGGAAGGTACACAAGGACCCCGCAGTGACTGGACCATCAATGAGTGGCCAGTGTGACCAGCTGGACCTGGATACAGGAAGGTACACAAGGACCCCGCAGTGACTGGACCATCAATGAGTGGCCAGTGTGACCAGCTGGACCTTGATACAGGAAGGTACACAAGGACCCCGCAGTGACTGGACCATCAATGAGTGGCCAGTGTGACCAGCTGGACCTTGATACAGGAAGGTACACAAGGACCCCGCAGTGACTGGACCATCAATGAGTGGCCAGTGTGACCAGCTGGACCTGGATACAGGAAGGTACACAAGGACCCTGCAGTGACTGGACCCTGCATGAGCGGACAGTGTGACCAGCTGGACCTGGATACAGGAAGGTACACAAGGACCCTGCAGTAACTGGACCCTGCATGAGCGGACAGTGTGACCAGCTGGACCTGGATACAGGAAGGTTCACAAGGACCATGCAGTGACTGGACCGTCAATGAGTGGCCAGTGTGAATAGCTGGACCCGGATATACAAGGACCCACCTATAAAGGTTCCCCAGAAGAAGGGTGAGAGAGGCACATCGATGACTGGGGCGGTGATGTTGATGAACCAGTTAGGGAGGAATGGAGTGATTCGCAGAAAGATCATGTAGTTGAGCAGGTGTTCACGGTTCTTTTCGACCTGAAAACAAACAGCATCATTGAAACTGTACTAAGATTCATCACCACAAAAACATTACACTTTATACTGTCTGTATTGTTAGAACTTAACCTAATTTCAAATCAGCAAAATTAATGCATTCAGGTCAAATGTAACAGATAAACATTCTCCACACAGATCATCCTCATGTAACAAAGTATACTACATACAGACATTCCTGAAAATAGTTGCACAATGTGTTTGAGCAAGGTGACTCACATGTGACCTCCACTGGGCCACTCTCTGGGGGATGTACTTCTTTACCAGCCTTCTTCCAACCAAGTAGGACAACAAATAACAGAAGGAAGCACCAACAGCAGATGCCTGGGGAAACAAGAAGGAGAAAATGGTTTCCATTTCCTGCAAACAGGTGTTAACACATGTTGTATCTTGTAATAACAAAGACAAGCAGCCATAAGATGTAATTCTCATAACTCAACCAGTGTGAGTTAGGACAGTTCCAGACGGATTTCTGGTGCAGGGAACTGGTTGTACAATGTTGTAGGCTTTGTCAGACCAGGGCCAGCTATAAGTGTATAAGGTACTACACGTTCTTCTGGTTATCTGACAATGTAGACCATGACCTGGCAGTAAATAAGTGAGTTCAGATTAACACTGCTATTTCAGTTAATCCACAGCTTGGAGGTGAGGGTCACTAAGGCATGTTGGTTGTACGTTAACCATGTTACCTACTCCGGTCAGACAGAACACAGGTCAGATTCATGAATGGATCGTAACCAATGGAGACATGGACTATTAGAAGAAATAAATGTTTATCTTAGATCGCTTGCAACTGCATGAAAAAGAAAACACAAAGTCCCAACATAGAGTCACATTTATGTTTGAGGAAAGTTGCAGTGACTTACAGACAAATAACTAACAATGAAGCAAAATGAGTGTTATTCGGATTACAGCAATCGGGTTAGCACAGTGAATACTGGCACTGTAGTTGCCAGCCCACCTGGCTTACTGAGAGGCATCTACTGGGTTACCTTTATGTACAGTGATATACTCACCAGACAAACACCAAACAGAGCAATGTAGTAGGAGAAGAGATAGCCGCAGATTATGCTGAGAAATATAGATCCTGGTATAGCAAATGTTTGTAAACTGAACAATGGTTAAGGATCACCAGGGACACTTGCATCTGACAGACATGTACAGTTTTCATGTCATTCGAACAAAAGTGGCAGCCATGTATCACAGAGTTTCAATTTCTGATGTAGGTCAAGCGCGTTCAGACAGCCATTTCTAAATGTTACATGTATATGAGTTGCTTGCTCTTCACCATTATAATCCCCAGTACAGAATGTGTAACATCTGACAGTAAAAGAAATAGAATTTTCCACATTCCATAACATGTTCTAACTAACCCTTCATCAAAAAGGCCATGATCAAACACTCTATTAACAAGAGATGATTTGAAATAAATGTGCAGAATACAAGAGTGAGCGAGTGAGTATGTTTTTATGCCGATTTTAGCAATATTCCAGCAATATCTTGGCAGGGGACACCAGAAATGGGCAGAATACAAGAAATGAGGGAGTTCAATTTGCACTTGTTTTGGTTTTTTTAGCGTTCAAAATGTACAATATTGAAAGTATCTGCTATTAGTGTCTCTGTGTCAGGCAAGCTGCTGTTAGTACACTTCACATACTGCATCAGTGGGTGGAAAGGATACAATATATACATGACGAAAACTCCAACTAAAACTTGGTAAAAATATCTGTCCTTGTATCTTGACAAAACTCTTCCCAAATTTTTCGCATCATCAATATCTCTAGGTAGTTTAATATACTGAACTTCATCTCTGAAACAGAAAAAAGTGCATAATACATGTAATAGAATTCATAGATATTACGTAACCACAATATTACATTATCTCCAGTATTATCAAATACCAGGATATCATTTCAACTTTGTGTGACGTTTTGGTATTAGTTGCTGATACCTTTATCAAGCAAATTGTGAGAAACTCTACCGAAGTGGAAATGTATAAGTCAGTCTTGTCTTCACTGATAATACAGCTCTTTAATGTACTTGAAGATAGTAACAAAGCACACATCGTATCCAGTGTCACATAAGTTTACAAACCTACCAGCTTTGACAAGGCTTCAAATGTTATTACCATAAAACAGCAATGTCAGTTGTTAAACTATGCCACCACCTGACCTGGCTTGATACCACTCTAACATCACACACCAATTTCTATTTACACAGCCCTACACTAGAACATAAAAATACAACAACAGGCTGTTCACCTTACCTGTATATGTTTAAGAGAAAAATTCATAATGTTCTCCCAGTTACATACAGTGAAAGCTCAGTAATTTGAGGAAGGGGAAGTCTTTCTGGGATAATTGAAAGTCCTCCGCAGCTCATGACAAGCAGAACAGTGAAATTGAACATGCCGATCAAGAATAAAACAAGCAGTGTTACTGCAACAAGTTGCTGACACAATACATGCATAGTCAATACCTACACACAAAATCTTCTCATCCACCATTCCAAACTGTCTATACTCTGACTGGTCCCAACGACTGACAGTACAGGGTCTTACCTTGACCTACAAAACCCGGGGTCCCGCGGACACCCAAATACTCATTTCAAGGGCCCTATCAGGAAATATGAGGCTCCTGTAAATTCCTGAAATGGTGCCGTTTACTGTACTATAAGATCTAATAATTACTTTAATTACAGGAGGTTTATATTTCTTGTCAAGAATTTGATACAATGAACATTATTGTGCATCCCTCAGGATGCAAATATATTTTTTTCTTCATCCATTCTATATACTTGTGCGTACTGGACACACATTCCTGCGTCATGTAAAACCCTGCCATATAACAGCATCAAAGATCATACATGTAAATATCAACAATATTTGCACAGCTACTTGTCTGCATGTGCAGTCCCCAATGTCTCATCATCAGGACCATGCTTGAAGCATGGACTTACTATTGGCTGGACTAACAAGTACATGCAAAGTCCAATCACATTTGTGTAATGACATCGACATCCGGTTCGTTAAATGAGCTCAATTGCAAGATTGCAAAGCATGTGTACTGCCAACTTTGCGTCAACAGATATTTTCCAAATTATTTTTCAAGTTTTTAATCAAGGTGCTTACGTGATTTGATGCACTTTGTGAAGTGAGACCCGTTTTGCTACCATATAGATTTTGATTATCGATCTTGACTGGGTGTCGACATTTTGTTTGAAGTAAATGCAAGTGATATGAGAAGTGGATTCTGATTGGTCAATAGGATGGACATAGAAGGGACACAACTCGTAATAGCCACTGGTGGCACTATGATCAAGCCCAGAAATTCCAGTCCATTTCAGCAAGGGTGGAAACTGGACTTTTACAGTCAGTGGTTTCTGAGAAGATGTAAATGATGCAGGATTCAAGACTGATGCCAGATAAACAGGCATGGACATAACTTCACTTGACTTTCAGTCAATATTGGCATACATCTCAAATAGTGGTGTTAGTGCATTCCTTCCCACAACAGATGATGTGCTGAGCAAGCCATATTCACTGAAAAAGGATCTACTCGTGGCAAGTGAGATAGTTAGGCAAAAACACATATTTTGTTAATTATAGGTATGAACCAAAATATTTTTTTAACACAACAATATATTTTGTTGTTGCTGACAATACATTTTTTTCAATAGTCTGAAGCAGAATTATTTTTGCAAGCATTTTCTGGGACAATTTATTTTGTTTACATAAAATCACAGCCCCAACCACAAGAACATCGAATGGTCAGTCCCTAACTGAGACTTGGGATTAAACACTGTCAAACGTTGCTTTGCCCAGTATGTGTCAGCTTTATTGTTCACAGGAGCCCACAATTATTAATTAAGCAATAACCACTTGGAAGCAAGGGTGATGACAGACCAAGGATCATAATTAGGGCCAAACTAGGAACCTTAAAAATATTCAGCAGATGATATGATTACCGGTAAAAGATGCTTCTGTGTATAGTGGATGGTGTGACTGGGGGATGCTACTGTGTACAGTGGATGGTGTGACTGGGGGATGCTACTCTTTACAGTGGATGGTGTGACTAAGGGATGCTACTGTGTACAGTGGATGGTGTGACTAAGGGATGCTACTGTGTATAGTGGATGGTGTGACTGAGGGATGCTACTGTGTACAGTGGATGGTGTGACTAAGGGATGCTACTGTGTACAGTGGATGGTGTGACTGGGGGATGCTACTGTGTACAGTGGATGGTGTGACTGAGGGATGCTACTGTGTACAGTGGATGGTGTGACTGGGGGATGCTACTGTGTACAGTGGATGGTGTGACTGGGGGATGCTACTGTGTACAGTGGATGGTGTGACTGAGGGATGCTACTGTGTACAGTGGATGGTGTGACTGGGGGATGCTACTCTTTACAGTGGATGGTGTGACTGAGGGATGCTACTGTGTACAGTGGGTGGTGTGACTAAGGGATGCTACTGTGTACAGTGGATGGTGTGACTGGGGGATGCTACTCTTTACAGTGGATGGTGTGACTAAGGGATGCTACTGTGTACAGTGGATGGTGTGACTAAGGGATGCTACTGTATATAGTGGATGGTGTGACTGAGGGATGCTACTGTGTACAGTGGATGGTGTGACTAAGGGATGCTACTGTGTACAGTGGATGGTGTGACTGGGGGATGCTACTGTGTACAGTGGATGGTGTGACTAAGGGATGCTACTGTGTACAGTGGATGGTGTGACTAAGGGATGCTACTGTGTATAGTGGATGGTGTGACTGAGGGATCCTACTGTGTACAGTGGATGGTGTGACTAAGGGATGCTACTCTTTACAGTGGATGGTGTGACTAAGGGATGCTACTGTGTACAGTGGATGGTGTGACTAAGGGATGCTACTGTGTACAGTGGATGGTGTGACTAAGGGATGCTACTGTGTACAGTGGATGGTGTGACTGGGGGATGCTACTCTTTACAGTGGATGGTGTGACTAAGGGATGCTACTGTGTACAGTGGATGGTGCGACTAAGGGATGCTACTGTGTACAGTGGATGGTGTGACTAAGGGATGCTACTGTGTACAGTGGATGGTGTGACTGGGGGATGCTACTGTGTACAGTGGATGGTGTGACTAAGGGATGCTACTGTGTACAGTGGATGGTGTGACTGGGGGATGCTACTGTGTACAGTAGATGGTGTGACTCAGGGATGCTACTGTGTACAGTGGATGGTGTGACTGAGGGATGCTACTGTGTACAGTGGATGGTGTGACTAAGGGATGCTACTGTGTACAGTGGATGGTGTGACTAAGGGATGCTACTGTGTACAGTGGATGGTGTGACTGGGGGATGCTACTCTTTACAGTGGATGGCGTGACTCAGGGATGCTACTGTGTACAGTGGATGGTGTGACTGGGGGATGCTACTGTGTACAGTGGATGGTGTGACTGGGGGATGCTACTCTTTACAGTGGATGGTGTGACTAAGGGATGCTACTCTTTACAGTGGATGGTGTGACTGAGGGATGCTACTGTGTACAGTGGATGGTGTGACTAAGGGATGCTACTGTGTACAGTGGATGGTGTGACTGGGGGATGCTACTGTGTACAGTGGATGGTGTGACTGGGGGATGCTACTGTGTACAGTGGATGGTGTGACTGAGGGATGCTTCTGTGTACAGTGGATGGTGTGACTAAGGGATGCTACTGTGTACAGTGGAAGGTGTGACTAAGGGATGCTACTGTGTACAGTGGATGGTGTGACTGGGGGATGCTACTCTTTACAGTGGATGGTGTGACTAAGGGATGCTACTGTGTACAGTGGATGGTGTGACTGGGGGATGCTACTGTGTACAGTGGATGGTGTGACTAAGGGATGCTACTGTGTACAGTGGATGGTGTGACTAAGGGATGCTACTGTGTATAGTGGATGGTGTGACTGAGGGATGCTACTGTGTACAGTGGATGGTGTGACTGAGGGATGCTACTCTTTACAGTGGATGGTGTGACTAAGGGATGCTACTGTGTACAGTGGATGGTGTGACTAAGGGATGCTACTGTGTACAGTGGATGGTGTGACTAAGGGATGCTACTGTGTACAGTGGATGGTGTGACTAAGGGATGCTACTGTGTACAGTGGATGGTGTGACTGGGGGATGCTACTCTTTACAGTGGATGGTGTGACTTAGGGATGCTACTGTGTACAGTGGATGGTGTGACTGGGGGATGCTACTGTGTACAGTGGATGGTGTGACTAAGGGATGCTACTGTGTACAGTGGATGGTGTGACTGGGGGATGCTACTGTGTACAGTGGATGGTGTGACTCAGGGATGCTACTGTGTACAGTGGATGGTGTGACTGAGGGATGCTACTGTGTACAGTGGATGGTGTGACTAAGGGATGCTACTGTGTACAGTGGATGGTGTGACTAAGGGATGCTACTGTGTACAGTGGATGGTGTGACTGGGGGATGCTACTCTTTACAGTGGATGGTGTGACTAAGGGATGCTACTGTGTACAGTGGATGGTGTGACTAAGGGATGCTACTGTGTACAGTGGATGGTGTGACTGAGGGTTGCTACTGTGTACAGTGGATGGTGTGACTCAGGGATGCTACTGTGTACAGTGGATGGTGTGACTGAGGGTTGCTACTGTGTACAGTGGATGGTGTGACTGGGGGATGCTACTGTGTACAGTGGATGGTGTGACTCAGGGATGCTACTGTTTACAGTGGATGGTGTGACTCAGGGATGCTACTGTGTACAGTGGATGGTGTGACTGAGGGTTGCTACTGTGTACAGTGGATGGTGTGACTGGGGGTTGCTACTGTGTACAGTGGATGGTGTGACTGAGGGATGCTACTCCGCACAGTGGTTAGTACCAATTGGACTCAGATCTTGAAATCAGTCTGCCATACAATTGTAATAAATGCTGTTTCCTGTTAATAAATGCTAGATTAAGTGATTAGTATATTACCCTGGGATTCAAAACTGGGATTAACAACAATCGCAAAAAATAAGCATGAAAAATAAGGGATCATAATTATTGTGTTAAAGTTCACACATTAGCATGTTTAGGGTGATCTACTTGTAATCCAGGATAAGTTGAACCAACTCACTAAATGTGTTTAGGACAATCAGGCAGTGCAAGAATTTGGACAAACATATTTGGTTTGGTCCAGGTAGAGAGTGTTTCCACATGTCGTGCACATCCAGGTCATGACGAGGAAACCGACAACGCTCCTGTGGACACATGTTGCTCATAAGACTATTAAGTCGATACCATGCTATGATTATCCAGTTATCAGCATACATATCCAGCTTGCAATATTACATTTACAGTATGCTGAAACCCCATAAACACTGACATGGGCTTGATTAAGGAACATGTCACGGAGTCAACGATCTCTATGTTAAGGTCTCAACCTTCACAATCATTTCATGAATGCTGTGACACTATTCATTACTGCTCCCTGGGGCAATAAAAGTATTCCATTTTTACAGCAAAAGAATTCCCTTCATTGCCACAATACTTCTCAGTTGATGTGATCTAATCTTGTAGATTTGCTGTCACCATTTTCGGCCATCAGGTACCTCGGGTCAGCACTTACAATTGGATGCTATTGAACTCGCCACTAGAACTCGCTAGCCAAGACAGGACACGCCCATATCCATCATACTACCACCCGCTACCCCTTCCTTCACAATGGTACAGTGGGCGGACCTCATACATAGTCATACAGGGTTAATTGTCTGGTCACATCTCAACTTATCCTGGATTACCAGTACATTCAAATACTATAGCAGCACATCTGAAACTCCCCAGCACCCACCTAAATATTGTGTACTGAAAATGTTATGTTTTTTGTTGTTTCCAAGTGAACACTTACACTTCTAACAAAGGCAACATGCAGCAAAACAAGGGTTACAAATGGCAGCATGCCAAGTCAGACAACAAGCTAGGTCACGGGTGTGCAGCACATATACAAACCTTACACAACCTTGTTGAAGGACGGCAAAGATGGGCTTATAGGGACAAAGTACTCACTGATCCAGCTTCGGGAAGTTGAGATACACAACTCCCAAAGCTAGCAACGATGCCAGGAAAATGAGTCCGAGTATGAGGAATGACTTTGTGCTACTCCCCTCTGATGCATGGCGTGCCCGTCGGTTCGCCCCAGAGTCAGTCTCATCTGTGGAGTAGCCTACAATAGTCACAACACATCGGTCAATCACAACCTGCTCCACTGCCTCCATAACATCATCACTTCAGAACAAATAGTGTCTGTAGCTGACCCAGTTGGGTGGGTGGATGCATTTTCCTGACCACTCATCATTAATGTTAACCAGTTGGTTTATCTTCTTAGCATGAACACATTAACCCAATTAGCTGTGTGCATGATGAGGACTATTAACAACAAACGTTTACTAGACGTGATGAACAGAAATTATTTTTTCATAACTGGAGGCTGGAAATTTGTTCTGATCTGTCTGAATATGTATTTTCATCTATGTTTACCAGTAACATGTTTACAACAAGTTTTCAGTAAGATTTAGTAAACAAGCAAGGATAGCAGTTTTCCTTGGTTCACTAGCCTTGGACCAGCAGGTTAGTGTTTATGTCAAAATGTTTCTTGGGGAAGGAGGATGGATGGACATATGCATAAGCTGAGGTGTGACAGAATTGGCCAACTTGTAGCAAAAGCAGCTTCGTTTCAGTTTGGTCAGTCACTCCTCCAGAGTTCATTGGGAAAATAATGCACAGGAAAACTTCATGGCATGGAGAGTAGGCTTTTCCAGGCACAAAACGTGGAAAAACACAGCCAATATAAACATGATTAACAGTATTGAAAGCTAACAAGTGCAAAAGTGAGCGTGGCTCACTAATACCCCCGACCCGCCTAGTGTGTCAGTAGTTACAAATTAAATAGCTAGGATAGGGTTAGGCAGGGTTCCCCCTAGACTCCAATATCTGAGAGTCACGTTGATTCTGCCTATGAATTTTTGGGAGTCAAAAATATTTTTTGAGAGTCAAATGTTTTATTGTATGATTAATGAAATTTAAAGTGTTCACTGTTAATGTTACACTTAAAGTTAAGTATCTTTTAAATATAATATGTCTTTAGTTTAAGTTAACAAGTGCTAATTAATGTTCTAAGCTGATTGTACTACAGAGAAATAAAGGATATATGAATGAAAAACAGTTTGTTGGTTTTATTTTTTCACAATCTTTAATTACTTCACAGCTCATTTAGAGTGACACTAATACAGGATGAATAAATAACATCAGTCTCAACTGTGAGACATAATTTTTAATCATGGATGGATATTAAAATACATTTCATGTCAGATTATAATTTAATACCACTAACTCATTTACTACGTTTTATCTAGTTATCTTGTATTATCTATCAACAGTGAAGTTGAACTGAAGAATTATGAACACTCGTAATATTTTCTGGTTGAATACAGTTTATTAGCAACAACAAACACGCCCAAAGCTTTACATTTCGTATATACCATATTTATTCGTGTATAATACGCACCCCTAATTATGGGCAATTAAATCCTGAAAAAAATATCTCTCATGTATAATACGCACAGACTTTTCTTCAGTCTCATTTCAGGCTGTCATGATCCGTCATCGGAAATAGCATAACAAATCCGAATTGAATTATGCAAGTTAATCTTGTTGTTACACTATCTGGTAATAAAAATGTGTTCTCTGTATATCTGACCTTATGTTTGTCATCTATTTTATTAATTTTATTTAAAATTTCGTTCAATAATGTTTACCTAAATTTCGGCAAAAACATGTGTCCCTCCGATACTTACAACTTCCGTTTACCCCGTTCCATAGGTTCTGCTTAACAACATACTGTGACCGCGCCAAATCACATTATTCACCGCAACAATGATAATATTTTCTTGTGTTTCATTTTTTACGAGTCGACACATCTAGATAAACATATGTCATGGTTAACTTTTAGTGAGAAAATATGCCGAAACGTGAAAAACCTTGTCCATTTGCGGAGTTTTCCTTTGTTTACATCACATGCTGTCATCGAAGCCACACGGAGTGTGAGAGTTACGTTCACTTATATATATTTTGTCGTGTACCTCACAGTCGCACAGTTTTAGTAGCATATCTATATAATTATGCAAAACAATATGTAAAGCCCCCGGCTGTTCTGATTTTAGCGTTTGTTTTAAAACGAGAGAAAAGTCTGGTCATGTGACAGGCTATGCAAATTAGCCCATGGCAGTGGTGTTATGCGAAGTTATGTTACTTCTAAAAACGACTTAATTAAAAACTAGACATAAATTTTAAGATGTTTGCATATATTGTCTTCAGAAAATGTTTATAAATTAAGTTCAGGTGAGTAGTTGTAATATTTTCATTCCAAAGCTTGTAAACAACAACATAGATATTTTGAAATTTGCCTCAGTAATGATGCAGTCATTTATTTCTGGACGTATTTTTCCTTAATTGAGAGCCATATATGCAAGAATTCTGCGTCAGGGGAAACCCTGGTTAGGATTTGAAAAATTCATAAAAGAATGGAAAATTAATAAAAACATTTTTTTTCTTTTGACTGCACCCCTCCATATGACACAGATTATATGTACTAAGTTTGAGATGAATCCACTGAATAGTGTAAGAGAAATCGTGAGGACAAAGTTTTTGGAAGGACGTTAGGGTTTGAAAAATTCAGAAAAAAATGCTAAATTAATAAAAACATATTTTTTCTTTTGACTGCACCCCTCCATATGACACAGATTATATGTACTAAGTTTGAGATGAATCCACTGAATAGTTTAAGAGAAATCGTGCGGACAAAGTTTTCAGACGGACGTTTGGGTTTGAAAAATTCATAAAAAAATGGAAAATTAGTAAAAACAAATTGTTTTCTTTTGACTGCACCCCTCCATATGACACAGATTATATGTACTAAGTTTGAGATGAATCCACTGAACAGTTTAAGAGAAAACGCGCGGACAAAGTTTTCGGACGGACGGAATCTTGGTATAACTATATACCCCCGACATTTTGTCGGGGGTATAATAAAAGGATTGGCTGACATCATTTCTCAATGATAAGCATAAGTGCAATGGAGTGCCAGTGCAAGATTGTAACTGAACAAGCTCTGCAGGGACTCAATCTTGTGGCGCAACACAAGCTGGGGGGTGAAAATAACAACACTCATGAAGAAGAATGGCTATGCATGACAAAGACTTACTTGACTTACCCTAAACATGCTTAAAGAAATGTCTTACGAAATCTGAAATAATACAATCCTAACAATTTTCAAAATTATATAGCAGATATCTTCTACAAATCATGGTAATTTTTCCCTCGACCATGATAAAAATATTATCAACAATAATAAATAGAGGTTATCACGCGAGTGTGTTTGGGGATGGTAAATATCCTGCATTAGGAATAAACATTGTATTTAGCGAGCCTTGGCGAGCTAAATACATAGTGTTTATTCCTAATACAGGATATTTACCATCCCCAAACACACAAGCGTGATAACCTCTTTATCATATAATGTCATTCTTTAATTCTGTGCTTCAAAATCGCTTTCCCTCTCTCACATACATAACCGAAACATTGCGAGTTTTTTCTGGAATGCGCGCATTAATATTTATTACGTCACAGGGTAAGTGATGTGTTAGTCGGACAGTGACAGTAGCCAATATAGTTCCAACTGAAATCTGTTTCTTATACAGTGGCGAAGCAACATATACGCAAAACAACAATTGTTTTTAATTGCCTTTCGCGGCAATCCATCTGTCTGTCTGCTAGAGTAACTGCCCTTTGTCAAAGGGAAGCTACTCTAACCCTAGTCTATGAGACGTCACGGCCACGTTGACAGTCGGTCTGTCCTGTCATAACGTTAAGAAGTGTAGTCAGATGTACACACAGCGACAAAACGAAACAAGGTAACAATTCAAACATATTTCGGACAAATCCAACTATTTTAATTTGTGGAGAAGGTTTCAAGCCGCAGAGGTCTACAAGCATAGATATGGCTACTGATCCCGCTTGGCTAGGCCTAGTGCCCTCGCAAAATTGTTTCGAAATTTATATCTCTTAAGTTGCCCAAACTCATAAAATGCCTTAGCTACGTCACAGTTAGAGACTGATTTTCAGTATATTAGACTGTTCTTTTGATAATGATAGCAATTATCCCTGAAGTTTATCCATATTCCCGATGGTTAATTCTGAATCGATCGCCGAATGATGAGGGCGACGCCATGTTTGTTTATAAACAGTGAAAGTAGTCCCTACTTGACCTTTGATATTTGCATATCTATCCGCATATGACCCCAACGGATATCGTTTTTATCCGTTGGCTTTATCCTGCTGAGAAACCTACCCATTATATGATAATAATTAATATGTGGGATCATTTTTTAGGATTTCACATTGTTCATGTGGAAATTGCTATCATAGAATATCACTTGAGACAGTAATGATTTCAAACACTGTATTTGCCATATGCATCAGTATCGATAGTAAAGAGTACCCGTAAGAATGAATTTCATGACAGACATGGGTACATTATATTCTCTAGTTGCAGAAACCTAAGTTTGCCCAATATCTATGAAATGAAGATTCTACTATCTTGGACACAGTTTCCACTAGGCTTCTGTGGTATTCCACGGCTGGCCACAACAGGACCATCCAAATAAATGCTGCACCACCCCGACTGGTCAGTGAGGAGTCTACCCACCCATGTTTCACTGTGCACAAACAAAGTGTCCAGACATTATAACATAGTTCAGCTTTCGTTCTGCAGTGAGTTATTTTGTGCTAAAGACTTGGCAAACCTGGGTTGAGTTCTTATCTCTTACCAGTTACTTTGCTAATCACAAATCACTGAACATGCTGAATCAGCAAAATTTCAACAAATCACTGCAAATTTCACACCTCAAGTTTGGATGAAGGAGACTTAAATAAGATATATTAAAAGTTTGCTTTAAATGCAGGCTAGAATCTACACGAGTATTGTATTCTTGGTTCCCACAGACTTTTCAAGTAAACTGTAAAATACTTCTTGTCTGACAATCTAACATACTAGATGAGCTGGTCATGGTGGTCAATCTGTTTTTACTAGAACACCCTGGGCAATACACTGCACATGTATCAGGAAGATTACTATGTTTAAGTACTCACTGAACATACAGTAAGCAT